TATAGATGAGTGTGATGGACTGAAGTGCCTTAACCGATTGTATATATAAAAAGAACGTATAAACATAAAAAATGTTTTAAATAATTGGCGGACTTTGTCCATTTCATAATGTATGACGTCATTTATTTACATTCATATACGCATTGAACAGATATGAATGAATGAGAGAAAATCATGGAGAATTGTGTTTAAAATCGACCTTGCTAATCGAGCGCTTCTCTATGGCCCAATCGGTTAAGGCACGTCAGGTTATGTGACGGTTCCGTATGGGATACAGGTTCGATTCCAGTCGGAGGACGAATATTTTTCTATGAAAATTTCTCGGACATTCAGGCCTGTAAATGTTGCTAATACTGTTTATTATAAACAGAGCATTTACTTAAATATTTGTATCTATAAAAAGAACGTATATATATATATGTTAAATAAGAAAATATTTATAAATGTTATTTTTTTTTATTTTAGCTGCATCCGTATTTTGTGGTGGTCATGTGTTATGGAATAGAGTGTTTCGGTATTTCGAATTGTGTTGTTTGTTTTCATTGCTCCAGTAGATCTAAAGTGTTTATGTTTGTGGCATTAGCACGCACGCACATATGTGTTTGTTCATATGGGCATTTTTGGCTGTCTGTCTAGTAGTGTCTATGTATGTATTTAATTATTGAAGATGGTAGTGGGAAGAAATAGAGAAAGATGTACGTATATGTGTGTGTACCGAATATCATCTAATATCTGCGGGCGCTAATACAGTAAGTGCGTGTGCTGACTTTGGATTCAAATTACGTTACTGATTTTGAAGTAAAATTTATTGTTGAGGAAAAGTCGTGTGCACCGAGAAATCCTTTGGTATGCAGTGAGGATAGATAGATAGCTGTAGGCTTAACTGAATTCTATCTATATATATATATGTATATATATATATATATATTAAAGACATTTTTATGTTTAACATTCTTTTTATAGATACAAGTATTTAAGCAAATGCTCTGTTTATAATAAACAGTATTAAATAACATTTACCGGCCTGCATCCTATACGGAACCGTCATTTACGCTGACGTGCCTTAACCGACTCGGCCACAAAGAAGCGTTCGGTAGGCAAGGTCGAATTTGTATCTATAAAAAGAATGTTAAACCTAAAATGTCTTTAATAAATTGTCGGACTTTGTCCAATTCTTAATATATATATATATATATATATATATATATATATATATATATATATATATATGTATTTACATTTACACACACACACACACACACACACACACACACACATATATATATATATATATATATATATATATATGTATGTATGTATGTATATATATATATTATATGTAATTTTTAACATATTGGTGAGATATTTGCTGTGTGTTACAGGAAGGTTTCAGCTTGTTTTTCAGTAGTCTCGAGAGCATGACAGGATAATGAAAGTAAATGTATGAGAAAATTAAGTTACATCGTCTGCAAATGTCTGGATTTTACATTCTATATGTAGGGGCTTGATGAATATTGGTGATATGAAAAAGTGTGTATTTTTATCGAGGTAAAGGTATTAATGTTCC